AAAAGTATATTTGCAACGGTAGCAGTGGCATCCGAATGCCCAATTTTTTTTCTAATTCCAAGCGAGCAAAAAATTGAACTTGGAGGAAATTGTAAATTAAGTACTGAAGTTTGAGCAGTCATGTAACATTTATGGTTTGAGAGTATTTATATTTTTTGCTGTTTAGATAATACTTGGCAAGGTTTGTTGAGAAATTCTCACTAGTTACGACTAAAAATTAGTCTGGCCTTAGTTCTGAATCTCAAATAAATGATGAAAATGTACTCCAAGTACAATTACATAATCAAATTAACAAATTGAAGGTCAGATAAAAATACAAATTTTTGCGGCGATTTAATTAAAAATACTGCCAGAGCCGAACTTATTGGCAGCGGTGGAATTTTTTGTATGCGTGTGTGCAGTTATCTGCATATTCAATTACTCGATCAGTCGATCGCGGTAGAACGTACGAACGATCAGAATCAGCGGCATATCTAGTTATTGTTTTGCAACTAGCGATCAATAAAATCAACTGTGACGTCAAAATAACAGCACATCATGCTGTAGAGAGGGCCAGGCCTCAGACATGCCAAAACTACTGTTCTCGGCTCTTTCAGGGAACAAATTGTAACCGGTCTTTAATTTACCTCACAAGAAAAGCATTTAGCGGTAGCAGTGAACGCTTTTAATGATAGACAATGTCCAATGTCCTCGCGGTGTCGACCATGTCCAATGATGTTCCTCATTTTTGCAAAAAGGCTGGAAAAAGTAGTCTCTCGGAATTGGGCGATGACGACTGGACAGCAACTCGACTATATTTCAAACGAACTGTATTACTTGCGTGAAATTTTGTCATACACTTTTTTATTGAATACCGCCGAAAATACCGCTACGAGTAGCTCACTATATGCTACTGAAAACGAGTGGCCCAATTACAGCATGAAATAGCATGTAACCACAATGCAGCAAATAGATAAATATACATACATAGCCTACTTGTGTTATCATTTATATGCTACTGGAATATTGAAATTCGATTTTGTACCTTTGCAATATAGGAACATTTGCCAACACAATATTAAGTTTTATATATTAGGCATCAAATTACGACAATATTGTGTTCTAAACTTTCTAACTTGAATTTTATTGAAAAATCTTAGATTACCCTGATAAATGTCTTATATTTTGACTCTTGGCGTATTTAATCGGACGTCGGTAAAGTCAATACTGGTAAATAGTGTGTTGATTCCAATGGTTTTGTGTCCAAATGGACTGCAAGAGGCTACCTTTTGTCTTTCAGGGGTCTGCGTGTTAAGAAAAAATGTAATTCCAAGTTTGGATATAAACCTATCCATATAAAAACTTAGATGTAAAATGATAGAACGTTCTGAGCTTTCTTACTGGAGAAATCCTCACTGGAAATACTGCATTGTGTATAAACGTTTTAGCGAACTTAGTAGGCTATGGACCTTTCCCCGACCTTTGACCCCCGGAAATTTCTTCCTATACTTTAAAATTTTCGGGACAAATTTAAAAGTGTTTTTGCGAGTTGGCGCCTGTAAAATGGGGTATGTGTTCCAAACCATCATTATGATTCATTGCATACAACAATCTGTTTTTTAAAACTACCGGTAAAGAATTTCAGGCTAGTCTATCACAGCTATTTCTACACTAATCTTTATTACTGCAATTAAATTGAAACTCCTAGGAAAACAGAGTGATCATAGAATTATCTGATTTTTATTTAAGTTTCCGAAACACAACTGAAAACTAACGAATAGAGTTCAAAAACGCGAAAACGAGGTAATGTTTACAACTACGCTTGAAAATCTGTTTGAGTGAGAAAAGTGTCTCGCACTTTTTACATCTTGCTGATTGGCCAATGTCACGAAGTAAACAAGGAAGTCGATGATTGGGGAAAGGTCCATAGGTTTACATTATTTTTATGTGTAATTCGGGTTAGCTCGAAATCAGCTTTTCAAAGCGTGGCTCCAATTCACAAGTAATTATATCTGCCAGTCTGAAACGAAGTTTTGATTCGTTAAGGTTTATAATTGTGTTGTTAGAAAGATGATGCTGGAAAATTAACTTTTTATATCAGGAGAAATGACTTCCAAAACTTGCATCTTACATTCGCGGAAAAATTTCCCTTCAACAAACGGACGATTCTGTTTAGCGTTGTTGCGGGCTACAATATAACTGGCCAATAGTGTAGATTCACTTTCATTTGAACATGTTTGTTTGATTTTGTACGAATTCAGCAATGAATAAAATTTTAATATACACGCGTCAACTGATCGTAATTTGAAGAATGCTTCGTCTTATAATGATACCTAATGTTGTATTCCTTCATACCAGGAATATTTTGTTGGCAAGGAAGACACATCGCTGAAGTTTGATTCTTCTCAATAAATAAATAAGAACGCTGCCATTCATCTAAAAAATATTCGGATACCAAGTAGGACTTTATTCTTCAATTAAAGGGGAGTGAATTTCATAGCTTGGGCCCAGCTAACAGATTTACTCATAAAAGGTATGAACAAATTGGAACTACTTATTCGATTGGGAGTAATTCTGGTTAGCATGTCCAGGTGGTTATATATCCAGTATATTTCCACTTCAGTGGTTATCGCCCGTTGACTGTGGTTGTCATGACGCGGGTCGCTGTTTATGACGGGTTTTGTCAATAGGTCAGGGTTGATTGGCCATACTTAAAAACAAATGATACCGCTTCACTCTGCCGGCTCCAGCAAGGTCAAAAAAGCACTGTCGATCGAGAATTAGTACAGTAGTAATACCGGTACGACTTTTGCGAAAATTGGGATTTGGCGAATATTTTTTTAAATGGGTTCGAATGCTGCACCGTACTGCCGTAACACTCGTTCAAATATTATTACTAATGGATACTTATCACAGTATCACAGGAATTCCTGTTAAGAAGTATGTCCATTAGCCTGATTAGCAACGTCTTTCTGTATTTAGGCTACCGGTATATCTGTTCATAGCTGAGATTTTAGCAAATAATATTAAAACTAATAAAAAGATTTAGGATTCCGGAATTGTCTGATTGTAGTAGGGAGTCTGAGATTTATAAAGAGTACACAAATGACACAACTTTAACAGTAATAAATCCGCATGTCAGCAAGTACGGTAGAGGTAAAATTAGAAAGACCAGAAGACTGTGGTTCAATCCATTTTTGTCTTTAGAAATAGAAAACAAATTCAAATTTCGAAATTAAATGGATTCATGCCAAAGTTGCATCATTACGACAATTTGTAAAAAATAATTTAGTTTATCTTGTGAATATAATCTACTATAAACCAGAATGTATATCTCATATGAAAGGAAGAAAGCACTAAATACTGAAATAGGAAATGCAATATTTGGCGATTTATTCCCAACAAATTGGAAATAAATTTTAGCCCATAATCAATAACATCTCCAGCAAGAACTGAAATTGATGAATATGTGGTTTCAGAAAATTTCTACCAAAAATATATATAAACTCCTGAAATTAAACCAAATGGACGACCAAATTACCACTCATATGTTGCAAATAAGTTACATGTTACTCAACCTATCAATTGAAAATAGATTTGCACAATACTGCAATAAGTATAAAGTATTCGTCTGGAAAATCCTGCATAATGGACTGCCAGCCGTAGATAAATTAAAATACTGGTTCAGTCAGTCTGGCAGATGTGTATTATGCGATAAATGATAATAATGTAGAGTAAACTTGTTTATCAATTGTGATTGGGCACAAAAATTTCTCGGCATGGTATTGGTTTTCCAAGTTGCCTAATATTCAAGTGCCTACTTTCATAAACTGGTAAACATAAGAGAGACGTGGTTCACCATATGATCAAGCCATCTTATTGACCTTCCTTCCACATCCCCCCACCCCCATTCCAGTCTGGATTCCATGGCCTTTTTGAACGAGAAATCGGGCGTGCAATCAGAAATTCCCGCGTGCAAATAAGAATTCCTGGCGTGCAATTATAGCTCACGACGTGCAAAACAACTGCACTCGCGTGCAACTGACTTTGACATCAGATACCTCTCAATACATCCGCGTAAAATTACCGGTATCGGATAAAAAATACGTTGAATCAGAGAAAAAATGGACGTTTGACCTTTGACCCCAAACATTATTTCTACAGTTTGTCGCTAATTTTGAGAGTGTTTGTGCGACTTTGGATACCGGTACTAGTCAGTACATCAGCGTAAAATTATTGGATAAAAAATACGTTGGACCAGAGCAAAATGGACATACTTTGTCATTAATTTTGGTAGTGTTTTTACGTAGAATTAATGGATAAAAAATACGTCAAATTGGACGTTTGACCTTTGACCCCAAACATTATTTTCACACTTTGTCACTAATTTTGGGAGTGTTTGAGCAACTTTAGATACCGGTACTGTTCAGTACATTCGTGTAAAATTATTGTATGAAAAATACGCTGAATCAGAGCCGTACTTGGCCATTGGTGCGGAGGCGATCTTTTCGTCCATAACTATTCTCACGGGATTCCTATTTCCTATCATTCAACACGATATGGACCTTTCCCCGAGCATCGACTTCCTTGTTTACTTCGTGACATTGGCCAATCAGCAAGATGCAAAAAAGAACGTAACAATGAGAGGAATTTTTCGCGGGTCAAAGGTTGGGGAAAGGTCCATGGTCTTTTTGCTTCGCAATATTTCGATCAGACCAAATCTTGCAAGCTGGTATTTGTCGACAATTGTGGAGTTATAATATTTTGGCATCTTTATATTAATGGATTATTGATTTTAAAACCATTTAAACCGATTTACATTGGTGAGCAATTGCAAATTTTCGGCGTGCAAAAATTGATTTCGCTCGCGTGCATTTTTGCGGAGCGCTAGCGCCCTCGGGCGTGCACCTGCCATGGAATCCAGTCTGGCCCCCATTGATGATTAGATAAATCCATTGTCTGCACAAAGTTTTTTTAAATATAATATATCAAGTTTCTTTTAAATATCATGTCACAGAAATAAGTAATGGACGATAGTGATATTTCAAACACTGATGGGCCTTTGTCAATGTCAACAACTCTATCTCTTTCTGAGTTTTCAAATGTATCAAGCCATGACAGTTTAGTTGAAACTGAATCTGATGGTGGAAATCAAGTTGGCAAAAGGAAGAGAATAAAAAAGAAGAAAGATGAGCTACTTCCTCCCGAAGAAAAACTTAGAAAGTGTGAAAGACGGATTAAGTCATATTTAGATGCTCAAGAACAAGAAAATGCTTTTGAGGAAATACTGAAATTGGCACCTTTGGTGAAACTGGTATACGGAGAGCAGGACTGGAGGTATGCAGATGCTTGCAACAAGCTGGCAAAAGGTTATTTAGACGTCAGAGGACTTGGACTGCAGGCTGTTAAACATGCAGAATTGGCAAAATGTTTGATTTTATCATGTAATACACCACAAGGGACCACAGAAAAAAACTTATTTATAAAATGCATTGTTGAAGTATATCTTTGCCTTGGTAGAGCGCTTTGTCAGATGGGTGGAAAGTATAAAGATGCAGAGAATTCACTACTAAAATCATGGCAAGTTTTGAAAAGCATTAACAAGCAATCGTCAACAATACAAATCCCAACTTCTTCAGCCAACGATGATGATTTGAAGAAACAGATAAAGCTTGCATTAGCTGATGTTTATATTGCATCAAAACAAGCTGATAAAGCAGTATCCGCATTAAATTTTGCAATTAAAATTATCAGTGAGAAAAACTCAGGAAAAGATGAAAAGCTAGTACCAATTTATGAGAAATTGGTCAAAGCAGAAAAATCTAGAAAGAAGTCTGAAATCAATTATGAAACTGTTGTAGAATACAGACTCAAAGCCCATGAGATCTCAAGCGGTTGCCATGCTCTCAATTCAACTGAAGTTGCTGATACTGCTTTATTTTTAGGACGTGCGTATGCTGATATTGACTCTATACAAGCTCAGAAAGCTGCTGAAACCTATTTCAACGAAGCTTTTAGCGCATATAAAAGCTGCCTTGAGAACAATCATCCTAAAACCCTAAAGGTAGAGGATGAGTTGGCTAGAGTCTTGATGCGGACAGAGAGAGAGGACGAGGCAGTCAAAGCTTTGAAAAAGAGTATTGCTGTCAAAGCTGAAGTGTTCGGAGAATGCAGCTCCCAAGTGGCAAACACAAACAAGTTGATTGGTAGTGTGTATTTGTCACAGGGTGATGTTTTGAATGCCCACAAATTTTTAAACAAGTGTTTGGTTATTGAAACTGAACTTCACGGTGCACAACACTGGAAAACTAAGGCTACAACAAATACTATATCATTGGTTCAGCAACACCCTGCGTTTTCTAAATCGAAGACTGCAAAACTGAAAGAAAGGCCAAACTTTTCTTCAACAATTAAAATAAAGAAATAATTAATGCTTAATACTTATAATTATTTACAATCACCATTGCAATCAGATATGCAATTTGGTATTGTGAGCGAGTTACCTTGTCATCTAAGGTCACTAATCAATCATTCCACATTTGTGATTTGTTTTCCTTGTGCAAATATGGTGACCTGATCATCAGGCATTGGACCAAATTATGTCGGTATTAAAGTTTAAAGGTTTTATTTGACCCATTACTTATCATTCTAGTGAAAGTATAGTAAATTAAGTACATAATTTCAAACCAGACATTTTACTTGTGAAAATACAATACCACATCGTAAAAAGTATATTGCAACAACAAAATACACAAATCTTATTTGAGAATATGGCCAACCATTAAAATGCAGGATCTACATTGTGGTCATAACGTCTTGCACTGTCACAAATTTTATCCCATCGCCTCTCAGACAACAATGATAAGTACTAATATAGTTCCAGTATAGAAAACTAACCATTTCTACTAGAAATTACCTTTATTACAAAAAAATAACCATCATGTATCTACATTTAAACTATGAATGTTATTTTCTTATCTTTGCTGTAAACCGTTTGTCTGAGAAAGGAGAAGTAGTTGCAAACTTTGTCACTCTGATCAACCATCAATATAATACATAGTTTTAGTTTGCACCGATAATTAGATAAAAATCTTTGATCATCCATAGGGTGGATGTATTTTCTTAATTAACAGTGCTGTTTAGTTCAGCGTCGACCTCTTCTATTTAAGATGATTACTAGATTAATATGATGAAGTTCTCTCACAGAAGAAAAATATTCTTGTGCTATTTAGTTATTGTATAAATTACTCCTGTTTAGCTTATCCTTTTTGTTAGTTACAATATAGAATGCATGTTTTTTAAATGTTGTTCTGGAGTGAAATGTGTTTTCGGGGCTATTTTAAGAGTGCTTTTGCGAGTTGGGGCCTGTGAAATGGGGTATGTGGTTCAAACCATCCTTATGATTCATCGCATACACAATCTGTTTTTTAAAAGTACCGGTAAAGAATTTTAGCCTAGGCTATAACAGCTATTTCTTCACTCATTTTTTATTACTGCAATTAAATTAAAACTTCTAGGAAGACAGAGAGATCATTGAAATATCTTATTTATATCTAAGTTTTTGAAACACAACTGAAAACTAACGAATAGAGTTCATAATCGCGAAAACGAGGTAATGTTCACGACCACACTTGAAAATCTGAATGACGATCTGACAAGCAAGTACGAGATTGATTCTAAGTGTTATGCATTTTAAATCATCAATCAATTATGATGATGAGACTGCTCACAGCAATATGTTCTACCTAACGTGCATATTACATGTTTTGCTCTATCGCACAGATGACCTGTGGCGCAGTCTCGGGTCTCAGACTCAGGGTTGGATTTTCGATGACACGTTTAGTAACGAGCTTAACACTGGATCCCTTAACTACGATGCTGACTGGGCATATCAAAAAAACTGGTTTTGGAAAGCGCTGGAAAGAAAAATATTTTTCCGTAGCACTTTGGAATGTTCGACCCTCGTCGCTAACTTCCCTCCATTTCCCAGACATTTTTGAACCTCAAACATCAAAGTTAACCACATTTGGCCAGCGGACCGCAGTTTGCCCCTGCCTTATAACAATCAAGAGACAAGAGAAATATTTACAAAAATAGTTTCATTTCAATACGTGCAACAGTATAAACTAATTTAATTATACAAAATATAACAAACACTCAACACAGTATTATTGAATATTATAATGAAATGCTCATTACATGACTAAGGTACACAAGTTACACAACTAATACTTTTGGCCACTTTTAACTACATAATTGTCATAATTATCTTCTGCTTTTTAAATTCAGGAGAGCAATGCTTTAATAATAAATTTACATGTCATATCATAACATGGCTAATGCCAGCTAAATTTGAGCGATCAAACGTTAAAGCTGTACTAATTATCACAATAAAGCGTCGTGCCCATGAATTATAAAATTATAAAAATTTCGGATACATAGTCTTCTTACAATTCAAAAGATAATTGAACAAAAAAACTATAGAAGTACTATCTTTTAAAACTGAACCAGATTGGTCCATTAGTTGCAGATAATAGCTATTTTTTCACAACAGCAACAGCGACAATTATTAAATACGAAGCATAGGTACTGAGTGCACTTGTGTCCAAATAAAGCTATAAAGACTTTTAAATAGAGATTCCGGTATTGTGCAAAAATGGTGGGAATTTCTTGACAATGAGTTTTTTTCCTATTACTGTTACGTAAAAAATTACAACACAAAATTACACAACTACATCAGACATAGAGAGTTTAAACAAAAGTTATTCGAAAGACCATATATTGAGCACTTCACCAGTGTAATATATATATATATACATGGAACAAATATTACCACTGAGTGAAACTAGCAGAGTTTGATATAAGTGACAATCTAAAAATTTACCAAAAAAAATCATGACAAAAAGGTTGATTAATACACTTCTGTTTTTTTTCTCTTTACGAAAGTAGATCAAGCATTCAATGCTGATAAGAGTACGTGAAAGAATTGTAGTGGGAGGCTTAAAATTCCCCATCGTCATCATCAATAACATCATGATGACGTCTTGGGTCGCCACCTGCACCAATCGCTCTTTCTCCTGCCATGTCATCAAGGAAGTCATCACTATCGTCTCCTGTAAGATCCTCATTATCATCGACAACACTCAGATTGCTGCTTGACAAGGTTTCTTCATCATCGTCATCATCACTCCCTTCATCACCATACATATTATTTCTTGGACCCACACCAGCAGGTGGTCTGCTTGGTCGGCTTGTTTGATGGTATGCTGGACGTTCTCCTTCCATACTATCCTCCAAATCGCTTCCTCCCTCATCCTAAGATATTGAATACATTGTTAGAACAAAACATGTCTATTGATACTGAATTGAACAAACTTGTTTAGAAATTTTCATGTTGAATAAATGGCTAAAACAGACTACTGTACAGTTTGAGCATCAAGTTTTTTTTTATAAATGCTGTTAAATTAGAAGATCAAAATGCCAAATGGAATTCAGCTTGCAAATTAGTTTTCCTTTGTGTTAAAACCCACTAGGGATGTTGAAATTATGTATATATACATTTCTAGTACACAATATGAATATTGTGTATTATTAATTGATTAGTGTATTTATTAATAACTAGATATTATGTTAACAGTCTTTAACTCTATATAACATTTCACCCAGTACACCACCAACATTTTTGTTGCTGTTTTCTTTTAGAATTACATATCACAAATCATATACATCTGGTCCGAAACTTCATACATACCATATCTTGCTCCATTTGATCCATTGCAACTGTGCTCAAGATTGTTCTTTTTTCTTCTTCTCTCAAACGATCTTGCATTTTTTTCATTGTTGATTCAGTTTCTTCCATTCTCATTTGTTCTTGTCCCTTCAAGTCTTCCAACTGCTGTTCAAGATGAGTCATATTCCGGAATTTATATAAGTAAGATTCATATTGTATTTTGAGATCTTCTTCTAGTTGCTCGAACTCATCCATAAATGCAGGTCGCACACTTTCCAGTGTTTTAAGTCTCTTTTGCGATCTTTCAAGTTCGGTTTTTCGTTTTGCAATCTTGGCTTCTAGGTTAACTTCATCAGAAGCAATATTGTCAAGCATGTGTAATGTTTTTTGTACTTCTTTCTCAACCGATTGAATACTAATACGCAGCCCTTTTTCAATTTCATTTATTTCCAAAGGCTGAGCTAAAGCTGTCAATCTGGCTTCTCGCAAGTCAATTTCTTTGCCCAAAAGGTCATACAAAAGAGCACCTCTTTCAGTAATTTCCGTTGAGAGTTTTCGTACAGCTTTTAAGTCTTGTATTTTTGAATCAATGTCGAAAGACAGAGATGATGCGTCTCCAGAATCGTTTTCTTTTCCATCAGATGAATGTGTCGATTTCATTGCACTGTATAAAACGCTAGCTATCTTTACAAGTTCTTTCACAGCATACCCATCAGCCATGTAAAGCCTTTTTGTGTTCAGTTTAATATGAGCTTTCGTAGCAACAAATTGTGAGGAAGATTTGATGAATATAACTCTGTCTTGTTCAGTATCAGTGTCTGTGGGTAGAGTAACATTTGGATCATACCTTTGTACAAGCCATAGTAAGATTTCGGCTACTAGAGGGAAATTTGGCGTTCTAAAATTTTCGATTGAAATCATTCTTGGGTATCCAAGAGCCCTCATCATTTCAGTAAAGTTTCGTAGATCACGATAAGACATATTTCTGATGTTTGCACCTTTCCTAAAAAGTTCTAGATTATGATTTACACTGCAAAAACAATTTAACATTGTGTCATATAAAAACAAAGTTAAGATAAATCAAGACAAATTGGAAATGAAGTTACCATCTTATGCTCACTGGGTTACCATCTTATGCTCACTGGATAAAGGATGAAGGAGGCAGGTGTGATAGATAAAAAATATCTGAAGCATTCTCACTGTAAACTCCAAAACAGGTTGCTTACACCTCCAAAGATACATAAAGAAAATTACCCAAGTCTGCAAGTCGTCCTATAACTGTAAAATATCACAACAAGTGGCACAGAACAGAGAAACTTTAGGCATATAGACTATGAACTATATGCTGACTCTCCTCATCATGCAGTCATGTGTAAGCGAGTTATACCGTACGGTACGGTACTGTCATGTGTTCGAGACAGCATGGACTGACAGACTGATGGATGCGTGGAGGTTTTGTTTGACATCCTCTGATCCTGATTCCAGGATTCTATAATATGATAATCATTTATCTCCCTCTACCTGTATTTATTTGTAGATCAGTATAGTACGGTAAGTTACTGTACAGCCGTATGCCTGTATGTAGTCTACTGATGTGCAGATGTACGGTACCAGTACCGATGTGAGATGTCTAGGCTACCTAACTGCAGAACTGGGCCCTACTAAAAAGGTAGGTATCATAGGTATCACTCACTAAAAAGGTAGGTATCAGTACAGCAGTAGTAGATGACTAAAAAGGTAGGTATCAGTAGTAGATGACTAAAAGGTAGGTATCAGTAGTAAATAACTAAAAAGGTAGGTATCAGTAGTAAATGACTAAAAAGGTAGGTATCAGTAGTAAATGACTAAAAAGGTAGGTATCAGTACTGCAGTAGTAGATGACTAAAAAGGTAGGTATCAGTAACAGGTTAGGGTTAGGCGATAATTTTTTTCCAATTTTCCTTATTTTAGTCCTATTATCAGTTCGAAGACTAGCCAAGGGCCTCCCGTAGTATTTATACCTAAAATTATGGCCTAACCCTAACCTAGTACACATATTACATTCCGATGTCTGCCATCTTGGTTCGCATACTTCGGGAGCCCCCTTTTTTAGTCATCTACTACTGATACCTACCTTTTTAGTCATCTACTACTGATAGTGATACCTACCGTACCGTACCTTTTTAGTCATCTACTACTGATACCTACCTTTTTAGTCATTTACTACTGATACCTACCTTTTTAGTTATTTACTACTGATACCTACCTTTTTAGTCATCTACTACTGATACCTACCTTTTTAGTCATTTATTACTGATACCTATCTTTTTATGGAGTGATACCTGTGATACCTACCTTTTTTTTTTTTTTTTTTTTTTTTTTTTTTTTTAAATGGATCCACAATGTGGATTATTCAATATGTAAATAATAAATAAATGCAATATAAATAAAGATATATTGTGTACCGTAAGTGAACAAACATATATACCAGTAATATCAAGATAATTCCATCAGATATAATATTCCATATAATCCAGGGAGTTCCAATAATTCATTTGTTGATTTCGTAATACAAATTACATAGTTTATTTTTAATTATTTAGCATGAAAAAACATAATTTTATAATTATTCACAAGTTATTACAAATCATGGCAAGTTCTTTTATATAACAAAATTCCTTTCTCACTTTTTCTATATTTCTTCTCATTAGAAGTGAGTTCCTAATTTTCATAATAACATTATTTATGCTTGGGTTATGATTTTGAAATATTACAGCGTTACGCTCCAACCAAATTTTATATCTTGCTGTACAAAATAACAATATAATAGCATTACGTTGTATAATGGATAAATTTATATAACAGTGGTCATTTAAGTCCAATAAAATGCAAGTTTTATAATTATTTTTTATCACACAGTTACTCATTTTTAATGCCACAGAAAAGATATAATCATAGACATTCTGAGTAAAAACACAATTCCAAAACAAATGAGACACAAATTCAGAATCTTGTTTACATAACACACAAATATCATCCCCAGAAATATGTTTTATTCTTGGCTTAACCTTGATTGATAAAATGTCCCACATTAATTTATAATTGAAAGTCCTTACATTATTGGCCAAAATTTTAGAATGTATATTTGAACAAGCCCCTATTAAATTACCATCTCTCAAAAAAACAATTCTATCCCCACCCTTCGAATTATTTACAATTTTATTATATAAATGTCTATGCTTTCCTTGAATTAAATCAGTTTCAGTGATGTTGTACTGTCTCAGAAAGCTGATTATAGTTCCATAGTATTTCTGAGGGAAAAAAACATGGGATACACTATTATTAGTAGGCAATTTGAAAAATAAACTAAGCTGTTGACCTATGTTGTATTCAACAAAATTGAAAACAGATTGTCTGCATTGATCAATAGCAATATTAGTTCTTTTACAATAATACTCAAATGCTGCCATGACATACATGCTCATAGTAAAAATAGGAATGTTAATCATATCATATCCAGCCAATGATTTGCATTTGCACAAAGTTTCTATTTTTAAAACACTTCTTCCATTGAATATGAAAAACTCCACAACTTTATTGATTTGTTTACCGATATGCAGGGGAATAGGAAACACTTTCGCACAATATAAAAACAAGGGTAATATTTTCAGTTTAATTAGAAGACATTTTCCATCCAAAGATAGAGGAATATCCATCAATTCGTCTATTACAGTTCTGGCATTATTTAAACAAAAATGCCAATTTTCATCCGATGTGTCAGAATTGGAAAAAATTATTCCAAGTATATTTAAAGTCTGAACGATAGACAACTTAGAAAATAAACTGGGATTATTCCATGTTCCTACTTTCAAAAGTTTCGTCTTTTCCATATTTAACCTCATTCCCGTTGCTAGTTGAAATTTGTTTATCAAATCCAGTGCTGAATATATTGATGTCTTGTTTCGAATTGTCAAGGTAATATCATCCGCATAGCTGATATGTTTTATTTCTTTATTTTGTGGTATCAATATTCCATTAATAGAATTACAGGTATTTATTCTAATTAAGAGTGGTTCAATAGCTAATGTGAACATATAAAGACTTAACGGATCTCCTTGTCGAATTCCTCTTTCGAGTTTCACTGCTTCACTAAGATAACCATTTAGTAACACTCGAGTTTCTGAATTTATATATAATGTCCGGATTACACTCATGAATTTATTTTTGAATCCGATTTTACGAAGAACGTTGAAGAGGTAATCCAAATCTACACTATCGAAGGCTTTGTTAAAATCCAATGATATTATGGAAGATTCTCCGGTTTTGTTTTGTTCCTGTATACATATGTCTCTTAACAATATGAGTGCATCAGAAATACGTCTCCCTGGTATAGCTGTTTGGTGGGTATCTAGCATATTAGGTAAAATACATTTCAATCTATTTGTTAATATTTTGGTCAAAATTTTATAATCTGTGTTTAGTAAAGCTATTGGTCTGTAATTTTTAACCTGATCCAGTTCTCCTTTTTTATGGATTAAAGTTGTATATCCAATTTTGAAGTCTTTTGCGATGAGTCCTTCTTCATAAATTTCCTCCAATACTTCAAAAAAATCATTTTTTATGACAGTCCAGCATTTCTTATAAAACTCTATACTTATACCATCAGGTCCTGGAGTTTTACCTTCTTTGAAAGATGTAATGGTTTCCTGAACCTCGTTTATGACAATTTGTCTCTGCATTGTTTCTGCGTCTTCTTCTTGTATTTTTCTCGAAGCTGGAATAGCTTCAATAAAGTATTTTTGAATCTCCATATCATTGTTTTGTTTTTTATACAGATTTTGATAATATTGTTTTACCAGGTACATTTTTTCTGTCAAATTTTCTTGTATGAAACCTTCTTTGTCCTTCAATTTGTGGATATAACATTCTTTTTGCTTTTTTTTCAGATTCTTAAAGAATGACTTATTACATTTTTCATATGTATCATAGTGGTGGGCCAAGTTTAGAATTCTAATTTTACCATTTCTTTGTCTTTGTTTTTTAATTATCTCTTTCTTTAGTTTGTTAAACTGGGTTAAAACTTTTTCTCCTCTGTCCAATTTCACTTTTAAATCATCTAGTTGTTTCATTTCTTTATCATATTCATCTCTTGCTTGTCTGGCAAGTTTGACAGAGTGTTTGATAATCAGATCTTTTATCTTATTTTTTATTTCGCACCACCAATGCTGTTTTGTTTCGAATAAAATCTTTAACGAACACCAATTTTTCCACTTATTTTGAAGGTCTTCAATGAATGGTTTGGTGTTATAAACGGAGACATTATTTTTCCAGAAGCCATTTCCCTTTTCTTCTGTACTATTGGTTACTTGAGCATCAACCGAATACATGTCATGATCAGAATGACATGTGGGATAGCAATGAAAATTGGTTATGTTACATAAATTGTGAGAACAGTAAATTCGATCCAGTCTAGCCTGTACAGTGCTATTTCTCCATGTATAGAAAACAGTATTATTGGGAAAATATTCCACAGAGTCAGTCAAGTTGAATGTATCAATAACTTCATTTAGTGCATCAGAAATATATTCTTTTTTGGCTCTTTTGTTGTTTTCTGATCTATCTTGATCTACATTATGGACACAGTTCATATCTCCTCCTAAAATTACAGGATGCTTAGAATGCAAGAACCTGTATATATTATTGTAGAAATTTTCCTGAGTTCTAATATTTGTTCGGCATGGAGCATATATATTGACAAGATGTATTTTTCCCCATAAATACTTATATCGGCTGTAATGATTCTTCCATTACTATCAAATGAAATATTATTAAATGAAAGTCCTGCTACTTTCGATTTAGTCAATATAGCAACCCCTTTAGAGTTTGAACTACCGTTATTCCACAGACTGGTACCCCACTTCCATTCCCGGGACCATTGTATTTCTACTTCTGGTGTACAATGCGTCTCCTGAAGAAAAATTATATCAGCTTTTCTTAATGACAACTCAAAGAAAACATCTCTGCGTTTTAAATTGTCACGAAGTCCATTTACATTTAGTGTTGGGATTGTTAAATA